GCGAGACTCTCGAGAATCGCTGCTTTGAGTGTATATGCACACACATCCACACACGCACGAACTGATGATCGCAAAAAAGAAAGAGAGAGAAGAGTCTCGTGTTTTTGCCACTTGACTTACGCTGTTCTGCCGCTGCCGTTATTGTTATTATTATATTATCGCTACACGTACGTGTACGCACGAAGCCGGACGAAAATTGAAAGATTAGCTCGTCGTTGGCCAGCTTTTTCAATTTATACATGAGGCAGCAAAGAGAGAGAGAGAGAGAGAGAGAGAGTCGAGTAACTGCTCGCGCTTGATTACAAGTGTGTTCAAGCTCTTCGCCATATCGTGTATGGGTCGACTTTTTTCATATTTTACGTTATGCACGATGGTGTTGCCGCGTGCAGTGCACGAGAGCGGAATGTGACCTCCTGCGAATTTATCATCGTCGTCTTTCAAAAAGCTCGGAAATACTTAGATAGCCTTTGTCCGATAGATACGAGCACCGAAGAAATTTGAATGTCCGCAAAAAAAAACCTAATAAATTCATCGAGTCAAAATTGTTCAACTGTTTTTCTGCTTTATTACCAGCGGAGCATGAATGAATGTCGATTATATCACACGATCCTTTCTTGCTCAATCGCGCAATACGTGTGTGCATGGCATGCACACCGCATACATACGCGCATATAATACAAACATATGCGAGAAACCTTATAGCGCCGCCGTTCCGAATCAATGACCTTTTGAACGCTTTGTGTTTGTATGTGTAATGTACGCATGAACGTACTCGCGACAAGTATATATACAAACGTGAACGCAAGAAAAACATTTTAGCTCGCCACATCGACCTGCCAAACTCTTTTTTTGCACATGGGGTGAGAAACATCCTCTGCTTCATCGTTTCTCGGTCTTTCGGTGATGTTTGACTCGAGCCGCGAGTTGAACGAAATCCAAGTTGCTTTCAAAATACGTACAGGCGCACACATATATATACGCGATCGTTTCCGAATCATCGAACAAAATCTTTATAGTGGCTGCTCGGTATTTATCGATTAATTCACGCGAGGCCGGTTGACAAAATAAGACCAAGTGTTTTTTGCGCCGGAATTTTTAATAAAAATTCAGGAAAATTCCATAGCCGAAAAAGAGTCGAAGAGATCAAAGACGCGAATGCACATTAGAACCTATCATCATTGTTAAATATCCCAAACGCGCGTCACCGTGAGCACAACGACGCAGCAGCATATATTTTTCCACGCAGCGAAATTCTCACATTGAATCATCGCGGCGCGGCTGTGACAAGGGGCACACACGCACACGCGTTAGGCGCGAGGAGCGAAATATGCACATTTGGTCGTGCCATGCGCGCGCGAACTCGTCACCGCGGCGCGTCGTGTGTATCGCATACCGATCAAGTGATACACGCACCTCGACGCACCAATACACCGATAACAGCTGCCGACGAAATAATAATACATGTATCCCTGATTAAGCCGCGCTTATCAACAAAATACAACACAAACGCGCACGATACAATATATTTAGAAAGCACATGATTTTTCAGCGCGTACACCATTGTATGCGTTACATTTATGCGTGCACGCCTGTACATATGTTGTATGCGTTGGATGGAAACGGAGAAGAAAAAAACATCGAGGAGAGAGAGATAAGAGCATTTAGCAATAGCTTTTGAATTTTTTCACGATGATGTCATACGGAATACAGAAAAAGAGAGCGAGGAAGGCGCGCGCGCGACACGCACAAAAACACAATTTATTAAAATGATGAAAACTTTCATCATGTATCGCGGAGTCGTTGGCGCATTTAGAGAAAAAATACACATACACACACTTTTCAAACGAGCACGCGCGGCTATGTAATATGCGTGTGTTTTTCTTTCGAGCGAGTTCAAAATTTGAAAACGTTAATTATTCATTCATCGAATGTTTATTCGGCCAAGTTATGTCATTTTTATCGAAACCCACATTCGTCGACTATCAAAAGTAAAACTTATCTATGTTGATATATTAAATCCAAGTTTAAAATTCCTAAAACATGACCCGTTAACTAATCGTTATAAAATTTTCTAATGTATTTAAAAATATGTAAACACAGCTGGATTTTTATTCGAATCACAACAGTCGGAGTCGAAATTTCGTACGCGAATCCGCGTATATGTAGGCTAATTTACAATACGATCGAAGAAATCGATTGTCGAAATCTTGAGAGGAGTCGAGTGTCCCTCGTGTACAGGCCGCTATGGAAGGTGTCGCGGGTGTACGTGACCGAGTGTAATCACTCGAATTGGGGAAGATTTTCAATGTGTAAAGCAAAAAACACATTGTCACCTCAGTTTGTTTACGTTCACGTGTCTTTATCGTCGACAAAATTCCGTCGAGCGAGCAGCTGTAGAGCTTCCCGCGACGAGTCAATTTTCGTTTCTTCGGTACTCGACTCGCGAATCGTGTCGATAGTACTCTCGTGAAGTACAGTAGGGACACATTGTACAAATACTCGCGCCGCGCACGCCGGCGGACGAGTCCTTTTAAAGGAGTCGCGCGCGACGATGCATAATTTAAAAAGCCACGCGCAGTCGTCGAGTTTGTCCGTAAATATACTCAGCAGAAGCAGTAGCAGCAGCGCCAGCGCAAGACAATGAGAAACATTACGAAAGCTCATTTTGCGGCTGGTGTATACACAAAGACACACACACAGAGGCTCGAATGTGTGCAATGTTTACATATATTTATGCATACGCCATAACTACGTATGTACATTATATTATATGTAGTAGTATATGTACGCAACGAAAAACTTCTCCGTACACAGCACGCATACAGATATGTAATACGCATGGCGCGAGAGTGAAAAACGTTTTTCCTTCGCGAGAGAGATAATTCGAATTTTTCAGCGTTTCTCAATATCTGAATTTCACACGCGATCGCTCGCTCGCGCACTACACCGCGCGCAACGAGTCGATCTTTGAACGCGACGCACGCGTATGCTTCTCGGTGCTGCACCGTTATAACGTCGCGGCATTTAATTATTGCGATAGAGTTGTATTTTATTTTTTTTCATCGTCGAGTTTCGTTCACGCACGCGAGAAATTCCTACCATGCTGTACTGAGAATCAATATAGATGGCCAGATCAGTCTTACTTTATTGTATGACCACGGATTATTCGGTAAAAAAGGGGTAACATTTGTCAATCATTTTAGTAATGACACGTTTTTCTACCCCTTTATATTTATATACCTGGCCGATTCTCTGTGAAATCGAATGGCCAAAAAATTTTTTTTCTGCAAATATGAAAAACTTGCTGTTTCCGATGTCAGAAATGTCCCCAAATTTTATTAGAATTTTTGGGACCATCTATCACTCTTTTTCAGGGGCCCGAAGTTGGCCATTTTAGGGTTTTTTTGAAATTCATGAAAAATCACAAATATTAAAATAATTCCTGGATTAAAGTGGAATGATTCAAAAGTAAAAGGGCCCAGCAACTTTTTTGTTGGAAATTGTCCAAATTTTCAGAAAAAAAATATGCCAAAGTGATTGGAACAATCTAGGTAAGTGTAAAGCAAAAAAACTGCCAAGTGGACATAAATGATGAAATCTAATCGAGTTCGAACCAGACTTTCATTTCCTAAACTATGTAAAAAGCTTCCCAAAGATGTCAACTACTGCCTGATAAAGTTTTGTAATGGGTCTTAAAGTTTAACGCAATGTAGACAACAATGTGTGGCGAAAAACATGCAAAAAAAGGCTGAAAATGGCTGTTTTTGGTGATTTTAGGCATTTTGGGCCTATTTTTGACCTTTTTTGCATGTTTTTCGCCACACATTGTTGTCTACATTGCGTTAAACTTTAAGACCCATTACAAAACTTTATCAGGCATTAGTTGACATCTTTAGGAAGCTTTTCACATAGTTTAGGAAATGAAAGTCCGGTTCGAACTCGAGTAGATTTCTTGTTTTATGTTTTTTTTTTTATGTTTTCCCACTAGTATGTATTTAGGTGGCTCCAATCACTTTGGCATATTTTTTTTCTGAAAATTTGGACAATTTCCAACAAAAAAGTTGCTGGGCACTTTTACTTTTGAATCATTCTACTTAAATCCAGGAATTATTTTAATATTTGTGATTTTTCATGAATTTCAAAAAAACCCTAAAATGGCCAACTTCGGGCCCCTGAAAAAGAGTGATAGATGGTCCCAAAAATTCTAATAAAATTTGGGGACATTTCTGACATCGGGAACAGCAAGTTTTTCATATTTGCAGAAAAAAAATTTTTTGGCCATTCGATTTCACAGAGAATCGGCCACCTATATGTAGGCAAATCTCGCGTTAAAGACGGCTTTGAAAAATTAGAAGACAACAGAGAAGTACAAGTAAAAGAAGTAGAGGAGTAGGAGGACAGAGAAGGAATAAGACTGGTCATAAAAGTTCAGAGAAACATGGAACTCGTATTGTGCGGCTATTTTCGTGCGGATATTAGAAACAGTCTATAAGATGCACAAAGATCGATACCCAATTAAGGAAGATAAATAAGGTGTACATTTTAAGAGGCTATACACAACGAATGTTATCGATGAAGACACAACACCTGCGCTGATGCTGCTGCTTTTGCGGCAGGTTCGTATAAGAGGATTTTACTATATATATATATATATATATATACCCATAGAGTTGTGGTCGTAAAGATGCGTAAAATTAGAAAATGTGGATACTTGAAAATCATTATCAAGAAAATTTAATATGCCCTTCATACCCCTCTCTGATTATTAGTCGATTTATCAGCGTTCAAATTAGTATATTTAGTAACAAGTGCGCGAGGAAGTTGACTCATCTAGGAGTTGCTTTCGCCCGAGCGTAGCTAGTTGCAAGAGATATTTTTAACCCTGCTTGCGAGAAACTAGGGTTTTCTGATGATTCAAGGGCAGAAAACCCCCTGTTTCGCGCACACAGTGTCAAAAAAAATCAATAATTATTGTTACAATTATTTAAAAATACCACATGTTATTGTTGACGCAAGAAAATTAAATTTATTCAAATTATATTTTTCTTGAATTATCTATCGGATTTCGTGTACAATCGTCACAAAGAGTATTTATAGTGTATAAAAAATAACGTTAATCCATGTAACGAACAATACATGCGAAACGCTTCTCTCTTACGATCGGTCACATTTCTATCTCGTAACAAAAAAGTTAAAAGTACACGTCCACGTATGTGGACTTCATGATAACTTCGAAAAATTGCCAGACCAGTATCCTGGTCACGCAGCCCTTGATCGTGGGCCCTATGCGTATAAACTGTCGAAAACTCTCGGCATTCAACATACTCTGCCAGTTCAATAACTGTAGCTCATGGTAGGCCTTGGTTTTAGGATAAGTGCACACGTCGAGTAGCGAAAAACCCTTGCCGTCGGTCATCGTCGAGTGCGCCAGTGCGATCTCGCGAAGGATCTCCGGGTCCTGGTGATAAATTTCTCCGACGTTCCTCGTCCCTAACTTATCCTTCATCCATTTCTTGGTATTTTTATTCATGTAGATTTTGCCCAAGTGGACGATTTTTAGGTGATTTATGAGGGCGTCGCGCACACTATCCTCTCGGCTTTGCTGGTTCTCGTCCGACTTATTAATATATTGGTAGCAGTAGCTGATTATCGCTTGCGGGTTCAATGCTGCTCGCACGTATTGAAAAATCGTATAAATTATTATTAATCATCTCGATACATGATCATAGCTATAGTGGCATAAAATTTTACCTAGAGCCATCACGTAGGGGAGGTCAAAGAGCTCATGATTCACAGTCGGATATCCTAGCAAAAACTGTAACACGCTGTAATCGTGCCCATGTGTCATCCGGAATCCCTTAGCCTTCAGAAGCTTCACGATGTCTAGAATATTTTGTGCTAGCTCCAAATTCCTCAGCATTCCGTTTTCCTCAAGCAAAAATTGACCCTTGAAGGTCACCGTTGTCGGTTCGGCACCCATCTGCAGCAACTCATCCACTGCGTCCCGATTGCAGACCGAGACGGCGTAGCTGAGCGGCGTCACGCCGTTGTTGTCCGGAGCGTTCAAATCGGGCTTGTGCTTGTGAACCAGCTTCAGAAAATCCTGGAACTCTGGGTTGTATCGCGACAGATTGAACGCGTTGCCGTGGTACTCGGGTAGGTATCTGCGACGCAGCATGTAGTGCAAAATGGTTTGGCCTTGATTGTCTCTGTGGAGCATGTTGGCACCCGCATTAAGTAGTATATCGAGCGCCGTTCGCTGTGTCGTTTGCCACTGGCCGAAAGTGATGCCGCGACAAAAGAGATGCAGGACGGGCGAAATGCCGTTTATATCGACGACGTTGACATCGGCTCCGTTTTCGACCAATCTCCTGATCATTTCCAAGTAAGTATCTCTCTCGGTAACGAGCGTGGTTTTGGCTACCAAGACGCATAGATGACTGAGCAGGGTATAGCCGTTGTGGCCAACCGGACCCAGACATAATGGAGAGTTCACCGAGATGCCTTGGGAAAGCAGACTGTTGGCCATTTGTTCGTTGCCAAATCGCAAGGCCGCCTGGAAGTGCGTGAAGTGGCTCTCCGGGTCCATGTAATTCACTTGGTTATCGTAGATCTCGCAGAGCAGGTTGAAGTAGTCCGGCTGATCGAGCTTCGCCGCGACGTGGATTGCTGTCCTGGTGTTTACGGGCAGGGCTCTCGTGACTTTTTTCAAGCGCTGTTTGAAGTATTGGACGATTTTTAGCTGCCGCTCCTTACAGGCCTCGATCAGAATAAGGTTCGACTGGACATCGTCCAGACTGTGGAGTCTCAATGCTAGCTTGAGGTCTGCAGGCCTCTGCACCAATACATCGTAGAAGCTTTTCCATTCATTTTGCATTTTTGAAAGGCGCGAGTACATACACACATACACCGGAAAAATCTTTCTTTTTCGATCGGAACCGTTGTAACTTCGAGCTTCGGCAGTTACCTCAAGACTGTACGATTGGCAACAAATTTTTCATACTTCAAGAAAGAGATTGACAATGTTTACATTTGAGCTGTCCCTCCCAACGCGAGATATTTCGATGAACCCGCGAAGCTATATATATCGAATCATATATACAGTAGTTACATTTTTACGTGATACGAGTAGCGCCAATTTTCTTGTGCTTCAAAATTTCGACCGCTACAAACAAATTTCAAATGATTTCGTTTGTAAAATCGAGTTTTGTAGAAAAATCCGAAGTTCCAATATGTTGAAATATTCAATTAAAAATTTATAAACGGCTTTTGAAGGACGTACAGTTAGACGCGAAACTAGGACCAAATCGTACAAAAAAAATTAAATCTAAACCAGTAAGCAATTCAATCAATAGAAAAATATTAAAAATCAAAAAAAAATTCGTGAATAAAATTCAACCAAGTAGATGGACTCTCGAATTTAGCTTTTCTCGTTCACGCTATTAATCGATATTTGTATGTATAAGTATAACCGATGCTCCGAATGCGAAAAAAAAACATCTGATTGAATTTCTAATTTGCTTTTATTTGAAATTTTTTGTTTTTGTTGAAATTTCACTTCTAGATTACGCGTTCACTCCTCATACCCAACGCGCTCGAAGAAGTATCCTTTCAAATAGTACACAAAAGAAATACAATACGAGACGTCAAATTATATCCGTCGGACATTAATCTCGGAGTCGAGGGCAGTATTTCGGAGCGCGTGGCCCCGAAAAAAGAAGTGCCATGCATCTCGCTGCTGGCATAGCATTTATTTGGGCGAAAGCGCGGCGGCACACGCGAAGTTTTGCTGCGCTCTCGATGCAGCAGTCGCTCTATACTTGCGCTTATGTATGTATGTGGAACGCAACAGGCGCGCGCGCGAATCGATCATATAATGCACCGCCGCATGCACATGCACAGCAGCAGGCAGCTTGGGTGCGCGCCGCCGCCAAGAGAGAGAGAGCGCCCCGGGGTACTCGCGATCGGAGTCAGCGGCCCTGGACGTCTGGAATGCGGGCGCGGCGGCGGCACTAACAGCAGCAGCAGCGAAATGAGAGAGAGAGAGAGACACACACACACACGTATACACATGCGTGTTGGTGTGCATACATACACGTATTGCTAACGTCGAATGAGTGAGTGAGAGAGAAAGAGAGATCTCCTTGCGTTGCACGCAGACTTGCACTGCTTGCTCGCTTGTGTGCTTGTAAGTGTGTGTGTATGTGTGTGCGCGCGGGTAAGTGAGCGCAGATGCTTTGCGATCTTTCTTACATTCGGTAAAACGCACGTAATTTAATTAATCAGCGATGAATATATATATAGATACGAACGCGAGCTCTCTCGACTGGGGCAGTCAAGGGCGATCGTCGCGCACGGTGTTTTTGTTGTTTGTTGTTGTTGTTGTTGTTGTTGACGATCGTCGCCACGATCGAGAACGAGAGAGAAAAGAAAAGTCGAAACAAAAAAACGGAGAGAGAAAGAGAGGGAGAAAAAAAAAGAAACGTCAATCAAAAGCTCCGTACACAGTTGATCGTGCGGAATTTCATATTTACGCTCGCGCGCAGACCGGCTACATACGCGATGCAGTTTATTTATATACTTGCGCGCGCGCGCGCGATATGTTATATATCACCGCGAGCGAGCGAGCGAGCACCGCGAGAGTGCAACGTGCAGCTGTTCGTCGAGCGCGCGCGGGTACGTAATCGGATTTTTTTGTCACGAAGCCGATCCTAGTACGACGACGACAACGACAACGCGCGCCTTTGCAACGACGAAAAAACGACCAAGAAAGAAAGAGACACAGAAAGAGAGAGAGAGAAATGATCGCGCGGCGAAAAAAGACACGCGGATAGCGCGTGTGGTGCTATATATATAGTATATATAATAATGCACTGTGCGCGCGGATCGCAAAGAAAGTCAGCTTGCGCGCGTCAAAACTGACTGCGCTGCTGCAGTGTATTATATATACTATATACGCGGGGGCTTTTAAAGCGAAGGGCCCGAGAAATTGCAGCGTCCGCTACTGCAGCTCTCGTGTGCGCGCTGTAGCACACGGAAAAAGTATGCGAACGCGCGCCACGAGGACGCTTAAATACAACGCGCACACACACGTACACGTACTCGAGCGAGCGTTTACGTTTCTGCTGTATGCGTAGCAGGTATTGACATTGTGTGTGTGTGTTTGTGTGTGTGTGTGTGTGTGTGTGTGTGTGCTGCACACACAGACGAGTAGCGCATATATGCAGGCAACTGCAGTTTCTCTTTGCTGTTTAGCCTAAGCGCGCGTATACTCACACGCGTATATTATACGTGTACGTGTCGGTGTGCAGTGCATCTACGGCACGCGAACGTTTGCTCTACTAATTTTTGTGATAAAATCGCTCGTCTCTTATCGTCGCTGTCGTTGTTGTTGTTGTTGCTGTATGTAGAGCTGCTGCATCTCTGCTGCAGTCGTGTATAATATATGCATATAGGAACGATGCACGACTTTTTATTTCGTACAGCACCAATCGATTCATCGGTACAACTTATTCTAGCGTGTTTCGTTCTTGTTGTTGTTTTGGTTGTTGTTGTCAGAGATAAAAGAAGAGCAAGCTTAGGTAAGGTTGCATTTATCTAAGTGCAAGATAAAATTAGAGAAAGAGTAATGGTGAGAAGCTCCAATGAAAGTAGCTTTTCTATACCGTACAACGTGGAAAATCATACACTACAAACTACAATATTTTAAGGAAAAATTTAATGTTAAAAATCAAATGCGCTTGTGACTGCTCGAAAATACAGTAATATAGTTTCAAGGATTAAAAATGTATGAAATCGGCACGTAAAGACATGTCACTATTCGTTATTTAAGTAAAAGTAAAACAAAACTTGGACTAAAATCCAAGGATTTGCATATGAACACAAGAAATGTACGATCCCGAAAAAGATACACTTGTATGGGTACAACAGATACCACAATAATTGATGAAACAGATCGACGCGATAAGAACCGCGTGCATGCCGTGATAAAAACGTGTGATCATTTGATTCTTCTCCTCTTTTACTCATTCTTCTTCTTTTCTTTTTTACATCGATTTATCAGTATGCCAACGATGATGTTATACAAATATATTACAATATATATGTACTCACAAATCGTTTAGACAATTCGATCGGGAGAGAGCGAGGAAAGACGCGACTGAGGAATGCACGCGTGCGAGCTTATAAAAATATTTGAACGATCGCGTAATAAATTAATTAATATAATGATAAATAACTACCGAGGTGCTGCCCCCGCGTGACAGCGATAAAACAATAAATATAAACGAGCTGATGCGGTAAAAAAAGACTGTCGTTTATCCAGCGAGGGAGAAAATTAAAAATCTATCATTTTTACGTGCTATATTCGCCGGCTCGTTAGAGCCCGGTTTGGGGTATAATAAAGCGCGCTTACAGGTGTTCAGCACATGTTTTTTTGTGAATAAACAGACCGGACGAGCTCAGACGCAGGTAGATGAGCTGTTTCCTTCCTTTTTTGATTCTCCAAGGTACCAGGTTTAAAAGGTCCCCCAAAATTGTATAAAAGAGTTGTTTGTGTTTATATACATGATGGGTCATTACTAACCTGTCGCGTGGATCGATCCAGGTCGTCTTTCTCGTGTTGTGATCGATGAAGTATACTTTTCCGTCGTAGTCGTGCGCTACGTCCCACCCTTCCGGAAGCGGTATCTCCCCATTTCGTCTCCTTGGCATATTTCACTGAGCTCTGTACGCGTCGTTGATTATTCCAGACCAGCATAGAAAACAAAAGGTGAGAACTGTCCTCAATTGTCAACTTCCAAATGCTTTCTTTTATTTTTTTCTTAATTATTTTATTTTTTTAATCATCCGCGCGCACGCGAAGTGCATTATTATTATTTATTAATTTCTCACGCCCATACGTGTACGAGCATCGAGCATCGAAGAGAGAAAATGAAAAAAGAGAGCAGACGGACGAAATCTCAACTGTTGTATACATCACTCGAGCCGACACACCGATACACACACACACACATGCACATACACTGACTCGCGGTCGTAACGAGACTCTCACGTGCGACAGACACGATTTACATGTTCATTCAACTTTTTTTAACTGACTTTGCGCTCGCGAGCGCGTGTGAAACGAAAATTTTCCGAAACAAAAAAAAAGTGTAAAACACAAGCCGATCGAAGCAGCTGTTGGAATTCACCACGCTGCACGCGGGTCGCGGAAAAATCGATTCGCCCATAAACTTTGTCACACCTTCGGAAAAGGAGTCGCGCGTGTACTGCTGCTGCGGCTATATGGGTACGAAGACAGCAACAACAACGGCACACGCAGCTCGCGGGGACGCGACGCAGACACCGATCACGTCGAAAGCGATCTCGTGTGTAATTATTATGTGTACGCACACACACAAACGAGAGAAAGAGATGTAACCACGCGCGCATACCTGCCTCATAACATGTGTGTGTGTGCTGGTGCTCGTCGATCTATACATATTCATTCGTAAGATACATATTATTATACGCATATATATATACGAATTGCATAATCATAATATCAAGCGTTTTCGCCTGCTGTGGGTATACACGCGCGCGTGTTATTTCATTTCTGCGTGTCTCTCTCTCTCTCTCTCTCTCTTTCTTTTTGAATTTTTTTACCGTTCGACTCGCGCGTTATATTTATAAAATTCGTAAAAATATTTATTCTCAAGGTTTGTCCTTCTCTTTTTTTCGAGCTGCTCGTATCATATGCGGAGAGAGATACACGCGCAATTTGAATTTCTGTGCCTCGAGTGAAAAAAAAAATTTATGCAGATTATTCGAGAAAAAGGCGTCTCTTTCTCTCTCTCTCTCTCTCTCTCCGTATAGTTTGGCATTGGGCGCGTGCAACGGTCGAACTCGTGATACCTCTCTTTCAAAAAAATAAAACGAGAGACAGGCAGCAGCTATAAGCAGCATACTTCGAGCCTCGATGGATTTAATCGGTTATATATTTATTAAAAGAGTTTTGTGTCTCTCGATGCTCTGTGTACGCGTATATGTTATAAACGCACGCGCATATGCACATATTACACACATATATTTGCAGATAAAAAATCTCACGAGCAGCAGCAGTGCTTGCTCCCATATCTTGAGCAGCTTATAAATATGTGTATAGATGTATACATGCACGGCATCGCAGGCATGGCATTTCAGTATGTGCATGTGCGCGCGATCGAGCGTCTGCACTGCGCGAGTGTATTTTCGCGTGCGCGCGGATTCTCCTCTTTCTCTCTCTCTCTCCGCCATCATGAATACCTCATTATCATGAAGCGGAGTGACGTCAGACCCCGCCTTCAGATTCCTCTCGTCGAGCGGAATTCCACCGTTACCAAGCGCATGAAGAGCGAGAGAGATGCGATAGGCCACCGCGTTTGTATATATATGATCTACACAAACACACATACACTCTCGACACACACACACACACACGGTATTATAACACACAGAGACACACGTTCACGTTGTATAGATATGTATTCACCACCGCGCACTACTGTCGTCGTCGTCGTTGACTTGGCCGCCTGGGCACACACACTATCTCGCTCTCTCTCTCTCTCTCTCTCTCTCACTTTTTTTGCAGAACACGCAGAGTATAACAGCCGTTTTTCGCTATCTTCTGGCTGTGTAGCTGCTGCTGGCTGTGCCGTTGCTGGATTTCGTACTTGTTTTTTTTTGCTTTTTGCTTTCTTTTACACACGAAGCTATATAACTCACGAATATCTTCTGATTCTTCGACTTCTTCTTCTCAGTTCACTCGCGTATATCGTTGTTATGCACGATATTCATCTCCTTTTTTTTGCTCCACTCTTGGCTATATGCCGGTATGCGCCGATTTTTTACACTAGTAATATTTTTAAACGCGCACAACCGAACGAGCTTGCAAATAATAGCCGTTGTTATTGCGGTCGCCGAACAAAAATTTCTCTCGCCTTCTATTTTGATTTATCGCTGCACCGAAGTCACTCCACTTTTTATACGAAATAATAATCTATGTATTATATTCGTTGACGCACGTGTGTACGATTCGAATTCAAAATTCGAAAATATTTCGAACGCACACTTTCCGACGACGATCGCACCGATGTAGATCACACTGACGACGACGAGGCCGACTGGCACCGGTTGAATGAATAAACTATATATATGTAAACGATATCGTCGTCGTTCGTTCGGTTGGCGTGTGGTGTGGTGTGTGTGTGTGTGGCGGGGAAGAGGTGAGGAGGGGGGAGGGGAGACGAGCTGGTGTATATATCGTATATATACGAGCGTACGATAAGGAGAGAGATAGAACGAGCGAGAGCACGAGCGACGAGAGAGTTTAAAAACTTGCACACCCTGGCGGTGGTCACACTTGGTCGTTGTCGGGCGCGCGCCTCCTGCGCTTCTTCCTGCTGCTCATACCCATGGACACTGTAGCAGCATTGGATGCGTCGATGAAGCCTCGCTCATGATCGTTCGACGTTCGTGTGTGCGGAGGTTTTTTATTACAGAGAGTGTAAAAAAAGAAGACCACGACGACTTAGACACGAGGGCAGTTGCAGCTGTTGACGTTCTTTTTTTTCAAAAATATTCTTCTCTCTCTTTCTCTCTCTGCTTCCACTCTGTAGAAGCTCAAACTCGAGCGAGTCTGCCAAAGTCGGATGTCGTATTATATCTATGCACGACAGCAGCAGCAGCAGCAACAGCAGTAGTAGTAGTAGCAGTAGTAGTAGTGGCAGTAGCAGCAACGGCGGCAGCTGCGGTAACTGACCTCATAAAATCGGTTAGAAAATCGACTTATATAGCCGAGCTATGCAGCAGCGGAGCAGAGCAGCAGCAGCACTACACGTCTCTCTTATGTATATATATCTACTATACTACTATACTACAACTCTCGTACGAACGGATGATTGAATTCCGATTTGTTTTTTTCTCTTCTCTCTTTTCTCTCGCTCCTTTTTCAGCGCGCACTCGCGAGAGAGAAGACGATGACACAGAGTATATATAACGAACGCACCACACACAACACTTTTAAATCGAACCGAATCGAACTACACGCGTTGCGCTGACTCTCGTGCGTACGTTGGTCGCTGCGAAATTTTATATATTATTCAATCCAAGGGCGAATTACGATTGAGCTCGATGATGTACTGCACAATGATATAGTTATTGCCGATCGATCCTGTTGTATGCCAATGGCACTGGCAGGAGGTATATATCGATCTCTCGCACGACATATACACGGACACACACAGACACGGCTCACTCACGCACCCACGAACACACGCGAGGTAAGCACACTTACGGAGTCAAAGACTCTATTTTCACCGATAACAGAAGTCACACACGAATATTTCGCGTGTAACGCAAAAAGCCCATATGGTTGTGGTGCGTTGCATATGCACGTTGGTACGTGCATGTAAAATATTCTATTCGCGCAGATGTTGTACACTGTGGGCTGCTGCTGCTCTCTCGGTGCAACTGTACACTTGCTGCTGCTTCATGCGATTTTTGCGGTATGCGACTCTCTCGCTGCTGTGTGTGTGTATATAGCCAGCGGTCGATTTTTTTCTGTCTTCTCTTTTTATTACTGCTTGCGCGCGTACAAACGAACCAATGTAGACGTACACAAAAACAACAATAACAACGACAACAACAACAAACGTTGAACTGCACACACACAGCGTATGTACGAACTATTATCAATAATAGAACGCTTAAACACTTTTTAACATTCTGTTGCACTTTTAACACACGCAACAAAGAAGAAGTTAGAAGTAGAAGAGAGCAACAAACAAACTTGAACAATTGTATTTGATATACACTTAAAAAAAATGAGCAACGATGTGCTCGATCGCTGTGTATCCAAATATATACGTCTATATATAATTATTATTATTATTATATATAAAGTGTGTGTATGCACTATGCACTGGTACTATAGTAGTGTACGCATCTAGTACGGAGTTGGAGCGAGAGATCCGTCTATGCGCGAGTTTTGTGCGAGTGCCTCGATCTGCTTGCGGGCTTCTTGCTCTGCAGCGGCTCTGGCCAACGTAGAGCAGGAGGCAGCCAGTCGCGCGCGTATATTACGGCAGCAGCGGCGCACCACGACGAAGCTAGTATGTGTGTGTATGAGAGAGAGAGAGAGAGAGACGTTGTTCGCGCAGCAACGGGGAGCGGAGCAGCAGTACACAGACAGGCCAACTTTGCAGTCGCAAAACCACGTTCTTTCTCCGTTCTTCGCTCTATCTCTGTCTTACTCGCTGGCCGCGCAGCTCCGTATATACGAAGGTGTATACGTGTGTTGCTGTGTGCACGCTATGTATATGTAGGAAGAGAGGCGCTCGCTGCGGTGCGGCGGCCAAATACTGTGCTGTGCCTGTCTGCAGCGCCGAGCGCTCGAGCTACAAGCCGATGTACAATACACGTATATAGATATACACTTGCGTGTATGTGCCGTACACTATATACCCAACGTCCACGCTGCCGCACAACAGCGAATTGCTTGCAGCGCACGGAGCAGATATTGTACACATGTGCATATTACTTTGCTGTGTGTGTGAGTGAGTGAACCGAGGCGAGGAGAGGATCGTGTGCGCTGCGGCGCGTGCGATATTTCGCATTCTTTCAACCAGGCGAACGCCGAGCGCCACTTGTCGCTGCACATCGGAGCAGCAGTTATATTACAGATTACTGCTGCGCTCGCTATATGCATTGCTCCGAACTCGTGTACGCGGTCACATGTAATAATAGAGGGAAGATCAGCATTGCGAGTGTATGACGTGATATACTCGCGTTTTACGCATCGAGTTCTTACCGATATCGTTACCAAGGTAGATTAGACAAGGTTTAAAAAAACACGAGCACAAACTTATGCACACTCTTGGTGTATGCAAACGGTTTGAATACCTACCGATACCATACCGATTGCGTTAAATAAAGTCTTACATGCCCGACGTGTGGGCAGCTTAAGCTGTACGTCTTTGATGCTATTCTTCATCTTGAATATTTCGCTCCGATGTAATCGTGCCCGATGACAGCTAAAACGATCAAGAGTAATATGGTTACATATACCAACGCTTCAAAGAGTGCTACAATTGAAATAAAGCCGCGTAGAGCTGTCAGTTAAAGTATGCTTTACTAAAATACTGCTGCGCCAAGTACGCGATGCCGGTTTCGCGAATAATCTAACAATTTGAATTTTGCCAAATATTTTTTATAATGAGTCATGCATGTACCCACAAGTAAACACGAATAATTAAATTACTATTTGCATTTTTTAGATGATTTGAAAATAATAAATACTTAGGATCGATTCACGTTTATGGTCAAAACCAATTAAAAATGGCACAAAAGTGGCGATTCCATCATGAGATTAAAGCATAAAATGCATTTTTAAAAAAAATATGGATCTGAAATATGGAAAAAATATGGTGCATTTATAATTTATCCTCAGCCCTGGCTTGTGACAAGTATAATTGATGCTGTGTTTATTAATATAATAATGGATTCAGGGCAGAAGAAATTTCATAAACAAAATGTTCTTTTACCCACAGTACTACTCACTTTTTGACTCTAATATTAATCATTTCTTGCTCAAATTTACAATAATTTAATTTTAATAAAAATTACTTGAAAATTAAAAAACTTTTATTATTACTATTACCTGTCAACTTCATATAATTTTTAACAAAAAAAGAAAGAAAATAATTTGAAAAATATTAATTAGAACTTAAATATTATACAGATATTTTATCAAAAATATAAATATTTATTGGGAATAAACTTTCAATTACAATAAAAAAAAATTTCACATGTGGATTTACATAACTTATATATTCCTACATATTATTAAATAATTTTCATTCTACTAATTTTAACCTTTTCATCATATTTCTTCTAATTTATTTTGATGTTGGTTGCAGATTGACAAGAACGCAACATATAAATATTATATCATCTGCGTAAGGAAGCATTTCAGTTGTAAATATATCTAGGATTTTAAAATTTCTAATTTTTTGTCTTATCCTATCTATGGCAAATGGAATTTTGTCCACGTGACGTTTCTTTACCTTTTGTTTTTTTGGATAATCATTTTCTACAACCAAAGGTATAGTCACAAAAACATTTTTGCCATTTTTCATTAATTTTGGGTCCATATTAGGGAAATTTCTGTCAACTAATACTGAATCATCATCTTCTAACAGCTTCAATATTCCTGAAGAAGCTACAACGAGTTCATCGCTAATTCTACCATCATAACTATTACTAACAAATGAAACTAAACCATTTGGTGTACACCCAACCACTACTTTAATCCTATAACCATTTTTATGTAGAGACCAGAATCGTAATCGATCATCTGGGTTGGATGGTTTTTCTACCTTAAATTCAATAGTATCAATCATCACTCTACAATTGCTATATTTAGGCTTCAACCAAGATGGTGTGGTACCTCTGACTTCTTGTTGAGTAGGCCAAGTAAGAAATTCTTTACAGGCTTTTGCTAAATAGTTTACTATTGAAAAGAAAATTTCTGAAGTTTCATTTTCATTTATGCCAAAGATAGTACCTATTGCATTAAATGTTAAATAACTATTTATTTTTAATAAAAACATTAGTAATTTATTTTCAATACTAATATTATTGTTTGTTTCACAGCGATAACCTGCAGATAGAGCTTTTAAGAGCAAATTAAAATCTTCAAAACTAACTCCACACAGGTCTACCATTGAGTTTTTATTTTTCAACATACTTTGATACCCTTTAAATCCACCAATACCATCTTGCTTTTGCAAATCACTAAAACTCTTGATAGAACTTGGGTTATTTTCTTCATCGATACAATCCTCATCATTAGGTATGTATTCATTTTTAATTGCTGCAGGTAATGAAACAAATATCTCTGCATCACGTTTATTTGGATTGTTTAAAAATGATATTGAACTACTCAAAAAAATGTGTTGGGTATTGTCTTCTGGTATTGCAAAATTAACTTGTGTTGCCACATCTATAGTATTTGGAATCACAAATTTTTCTTCCATTACAATATCAATATCACATGAGACACTATCACAAGGAGTACTTGTCGATGAATCCTCCATATTTTGGCACTTTGAACTTTTGATAGTTTGCTTGGATGCAATATCTCTTTTTACCCAGCGCTCGAAACGCTCACGAGTCCTTGCAGGATCAATAAATTTCTTATTCTGAGCACCGGGAAAAAGTGTCGGGTTGTAACTGGGGCTCTTGGGATGCTCAGATTTAGCATTACCAACAAAATGTTTGCCACAAATTAAAGCACATTTTCCAGGCTCCCACTCGGACCCGCCAAAACAATTTATACGCACCGCTTGAATCCAACCATTTCTGCGAGCTACTTTGTGGGGCATAAGCTTGTTGTTCGTAGGAAAACGATAAAAAGGCACGCTATTAATTCCACTCTTATTTTGGCAGTCCGGCACGCAACACTTTTTACCTTTTATTTTTTTCACTTTACCTTGATTTTCCATTTTCATTGACAAAGCGGCAGCCACTTACATCTATTATAATGTATTTTTACATGCAACAGTCGTTCGTATCGAGGGTTCGAAGTTTGATAGTCCGGCACGATGAGGCGCTGTCTACCACTGGCTTGCAAGCGCCAAGCATGCTGATGTACTCGTGTACTTGCATTTGTATTGCAGTCAATTATGATTTCAACTAGATAGAATGATATTTGACGTTGCTGTTATAAAAAATTTAAATAAGGAAAAAAAATACTTCAACACTGAATGATAAAAAATTACCGTCACTAATGTTTTTAGTGCTTCAACGTTTCAGCAAAAGAAAATACTTTACTTATTAATGATTATCGCATAAAAGCTGTGATTACGACGCATTATTCTAAAATTAATGAGTTAGCAACAAATTTATGATTTTGGATTCACCATCTACATTTAAATCCTTCAGATCTTCACCAAGTTAAACCTGGCCTCCACTGATGTATTTGTTCATTCATTTAATCAGATTTTCAAATTGATTCTTCTCTATTCAATTTTTATGCTTCAATTTAATCTTACCTGATCGATATGTCATGTTATTTTTTTAATAGTTAATCATAAGTGCCAAAAAATTCATTAAAAAGATTATTAAGTTATAAGTTATAGTAAAAGTACCATAAAAGTCTACAACTAGAAACATTGGTTTCATGATTCTATTTGTTTGAATTTTAAATTTTATAGTCCAAATTAAAAATAATTAAGGTACAATATTATCAATCTTCTAGTCCAGTAATTGGTTGAATTTCAAGTGTTTTTTTCACAAAGACACTAGCACAAATTGCATCTAAGCACTATAGCTGTTATAAAATTTATATTAGTTATGTATTAAAATATGATACATGACAGTAATTACAATACAGATTAAAAGAAAGTTACAAGAATACACTGGAGTAGATTCAATGATTATTGACACAGATGCATTGATTCGTATAACAATCACATTTTATTTACAAAAATAACATGACGTAATTTATGAAATTCAGTTGTACGTCATCATAGTTAATGATTAAAATTAACAAAATTTACATTATGATATGGTATGTAATTTTCAATATTTGCTTAATCATCTTTTGGTTCAGTTGCTATACGACACAACCTGCAAATAAGACTGTTCATTTGCAATAAGCTACTGTTACCTCTAACAATTTCTAAATTGGTTAAACCAATTTCATAAACAAAATCAATTTTTATGTGTTCATCTATATCTAAATTTTTTGTAATCCTAAATATATTACTAATAAGATCTTCAGGAGAATATCCTAGATCCCACAGACTCTTCAAGATCTGATAAGCCTGACTCACATCACCTTTCAAACACAATTCTAACATGTTTGTAACAAGTAAAGGATGTGGCTCGTCGCAGACTTTGAAAACATTTTCACTATTCACATGACCAAATCCATTGACAGTTGACTGCAAATTGTTTAGAGCTTGTCGCATATCTCCCTGAGCAGTAAATACAATAGCCTCTAGGCCATCATCGGTGAAAGAAACATTTTCTTTGCGGCATACATCCATGATCTTGGCCAGAACCTGTGCATCGCTCAACTTGCCGTACCTTACCATGGCACAGCGAGATTGTATGGGTTCGATGATTCTCTCGCTGTTGTTGCAAGCCAGAGCAAATCTGGTCGTCTGACTGTAAATCTCCATGGTACGGCGCAGAGCCTGCTGAGCGCCGTCCGTCATGCTATCGGCCTCGTCGAGGATGATGATCTTGTGCTTGCCGGGCGGCAAGTTCACCTTCTTCTGGGCGAACATCTTGATCTTGTTGCGCACGACGTCGATGCCGCGCTCGTTCGAGGCGTTGAGCTCGAGCACGGCGTCCTTGAAGGTGGGGCCAAGGAGTATTCGGGCGAAGCAGAGGATGGTCGTGGTTTTGCCCACGCCCGGTGGGCCGGCTATGATGAGATTGGGCGCGTTGCCGTGCTCGGCGAACACCGACAGGCGCTCGACCGTGTCCTCGTTGCCGACGATGTCCTCGAACTTTTGCGGCCGGTACTTCTCGATCCACGGCACGTTCATCTTTTTGCTCTTGGTCGTCGCTTTGGTCGTCGTCGTGCTCGACGTGGATGGTCCGGCCTCTTGGTCGACATCCATCACTTCCACTAGGTCGGTCATTTTGACGATGCCGATTGTTTTTATGTTGAATCGAAGGATTGTGTGAAGGATAAGTCAAGAGCTAACCTCTGCAACTGCGTTGTTTATTTTCGAATATATTGCCAGCCTATCTGTCAAGAAACACACATAACACAACACTTTCAAGACTATTCAACAGATTTTAAGTTCTTTAACAACGATTAACATTTACTTACTTGAAAAGAAACGATGATTTAATAATGAACGGATCTCTTGAGAAGTAAGACTGTCGATTCAAACAACAAAGATAAACAACACAAGTTGCTCCCGCGCAATTCGCAAGTTATGATATTCTCTCTCTCTCTTTCTTTCTCTCACTCTTAAACCTTGATCGGCTGAGACGAGTCGCATGCGGCCATCGTATGCAGCAATTTAGCAGCCAACAGCTAGTAATGTAGGTAGGGTTTCTTCTGATGCTAAGATAATCTATAGATAAATGCATAAAATGCATGCTCTAAATTAACTTGTCGCGTAACATATTATTATTCTTCTTTTAGAAAAGTTATTGTTTTTACTTTTTTAGTCAAGAACTATAATATTTTAATAGGAACTCATCATATTATGAGAGAAAATGTTCTAGTAGTTAGTCTTCTGAATAAATATAGTTGAAATTGGACATAAGGTTTTTTAGCCCAATTAAATTCATTTCATTGCATATAATTATACAAGTCTTAGTGCTTGAGGGATGTGCCACATCAATATGGGCTTTGAGGTTTATTTTTCGTCCGAACGTCTTTCCGCAAATCTCACATGCATAGGTGGTACTATTGTGCGTCGATTTGACATGTCTATAGAGATTAGATCGATTTTTATATATTTTTTCACATAAATCACATGCATAAGTGATGCCATTATGCACCTCATTGATGTGCCTCTTGAGATCACTTTTAAGTGAAACTGTCTTGCCGCATACATCACATGAGTGAGTGACGCCATTATGTGCAACATCAATGTGATTTTTGAGATAGTTTTTAGTTGAGTATTTCTTTCCACATACGTCACACGTATGTTTGTTACCGTTATGCACCGAATCTATGTGGCTTTTGAGATTACTCTTGCTTGTGAATGTCTTTCCGCAATTGTCACATGTAGGAGTGACACCATTATGAACCCAATCGATGTGCCTTCTGAGTTCACTTTTAGATGAAAGTGTCTTGCCGCATATATCACACGAGTGAGTGATACCATTGTGCGCTACATCGATGTGGGCCACGAGATTATTTTTTCTTCCGTACTTCTTTCCGCAAACGTCACACGTATAATTCTTACTATTATGTATTGTATCTATGTGGTCTTTGAGATATCTCTTTTGTGAGTACGTCTTTCCGCAAATATTACATTCATGTGTGACTCCATTATGCACCGCATCCATGTGGACTTGGAGACTGCCCTTCTGTGAGTACGTCTTTCCGCAAATATTACATTCATGTGTGACTCCATTATGCACCACATCTATGTGGACTTTAAGATGACCCTTCTGTAAGTATGTCTTTCCGCAAATATTACATTTATTTGTGACCCCATTGTGCATGGTATCAATGTGGCGTTTGAGACTAAACTTATTGGCGAATTTCTTAGCGCAAATATCACATTCATGTGTGACCCCATTGTGCACCTCATCAATGTGGGTTTTTAGATACCATTTTTGAGTAAAAGACTTTCCGCATACATCACAAGAATGTGCGATTTTACTATGGATCGAGTCGATGTGTTTTTTGAGAATATTCTTCCGTCTAAATGTTTTTCCACACGTGTTACAATTGTGAATTATACCACTATGCACCTGACCTACATTTACTTTGCGTTTACGTTGGTTGTTGAATACTTTTTTGTCAGTTTTCTTTTGATTTTGCTCACCGAGCTCACAGTCAAAATTAACGATCAAATTTTTCGGTTCGTCGTTAGAAGATTCTTGCTTCACTTCTACGCCAGATTCTATTTTAACGATGTTTTGATTTTTATAATCAGCGGATTGATTTATATTTTGCACATCATTTAGAGAATAATCGTCAAATTTCTTGATTGGTAATAAATTCATGCTGGGCTTCACGTCTAATTTACATTCAATTTCAATTTGAATGTCGTCAAGTTTATTTTCACGATTTTCGTCACATTTTTGAAGCATTTGAATCTATAATAAAATTAAATTTACGTAATAATTTTTACTTAAAGCAACTACTACTATGCCAATCGCTAATAATAATTATCAGTTCTTACTGGATTTTCTCCGGGAAACCTCAAGTATTGGAACTTGTTAGTATCGAGTGCTTTATTAATATTGCTATAATCATTTTTTTCAGTAAACGATTCATCAGCAGGCTCTTTTTTCACTCTGAAAAAGATTTAAAAAGATTAATTATTATGTTAAAACATTTTAATACCTTCATTCTCATGAAATATAATTTACTTGATGGCACAATTAAATTTATCGCTGGATTCCATCTTATACTCTAAGAATTTAGCTAACGACTAATCTTTGTGTTATAACAATACACATCAAGCCCCCTAATTTGAATTTAATAATATTTACAAATCATGAAGTGAACGTTTGAACTAATGTAAACAAAGCAACATTGAGTTATTATTTACTATTAGAGCTATTACATTAATCATGTACTATACGAACGAATCATTTTGCTTCTTGATAGAGGAAGTCATGTGATAGGCTTGAAATTGAAATTTGGAACCAGACGTAATAGGAAAATTTTCCCGAAGCATGAGGGTATAAATCGATTCATAAATTGAGCCTATGTAATGTAAAGAAAGTTCCCGTGCTCACCTGCGCAATATCGGCTTTTAAATTTTCTAGTAATCATTAATATTGCATGGGAGTTTGATGGAATTCACATACTAATAAACAGTACGTGTACATTGGCCGTATTGTGCTAGTTTTATCCCACTTGTTAAAATATATCCAAGTTTTTCGTAATCCCGATGCAGCTAACTATATATTTCTCAATTTGCCCTGGCATGCCATTATTATCAAAAAAGCTTTATTAAAACTTTGTGACATTTATAATTTGAATTCAACAGGATTTTCAATAAATAGTACTCTCAAGGGTAGTGAAAAAAGATGATAATAAATACACTTGCATAGATTTTTATTTGATGGGATAAACATTAATTACACTTATAAATAATTAAGTATTAAATAATAATGTGAGCTTTTGTGAATAAAAAGAACACAAGAGAAATATTTTTAAATTAAAACGCAGTATATATTGATCTTAAAGCTGTTACAAATGACGCAGCTTTTTTCAGCACCTAAAATGATAAAAAAATTTCATCAGAGCGAGTCGTACGATTTTTTAATACGCAAATAAACAATAAATATCTTACTGAGCTACAGGTTTCAAAGCTCAAATCGGCTAGGAATCCTGCTCTCAATACCAAAGGTTTTTTCGTTCTTACTAGTATCAGTAACAACAAAACTCGAGCTTTCGGAGGGTAGCCGTGCCAATTAACGCAATAACTGTGTGGATGTTTGTTCTATAGTTTAATTTATTCCAAGTTTTTTTTTTAAATTCTCATTCATAAAGAAATATTACCATTCGATGAAAAATTCATGACCAGCATTACTTAAAAGTTGACCAGGAACACATATGAATAAGATTACAATCATGGCAGCCCAGCAACAAACAAACATTTTTATAGCCATTGGTACGTGTGAATCCATCAAAACTACCATCTAAGTCATTGATATGTAAACAATTATTAGTAATTTCAGGATAATTTTGATTGTCGTGATTGATTGAAATAGTTATTTTTATTTTTCAATTTTAATGGTAAAAAAATCACTAAATATGTTGATTTTTTTTTTAAATATTCACCGTAGAACCTGCTATGATGAGAAGAGCAGATGAACCAAGCATTATCACGAACATCAACCTTTCGGTCAGGAAATATAAAATTTCGTAGAGCCTATGTAAGTTTTGTTTTATTGAGTCATATTGTATAGTGTACAGTTTTTAATATTTTTTAAAAGAATTTGTATAAATTTAAAATGGAAATAAAACTCGTATTTTGGTTATGGATTTTCATAATCAAAAATAACATACTTGATGCATCTTTGATGTTGCTGAATAAAATATTTAAAACTTTGAGTAAGGAAGTGATGAGCGTTTTCTTCACTTTCAGAAACCATGCATTTATAATCAAAGTCAGTTTTTTTCAAGTAGTATCTAAAATGTGAAAAAAATAGCGAAAAAATATTGCACTTCCAGCGGGACAATTCTCGAAAAAATTGTGTACAGGAAAACCCCGGTATACGCGGTACTTGGTATACGCGGATTCGCAAGTACGCGGTTTTTGAAAAAAGGCCATGATTCTATATACGCGGTGTTTGCTTCGTTTTTACGCGGTTTGTAGCAACATTCACAACTATTTCTCTTAAAAGTTTGTTGACGTTTCCTCATTTTTGTAAAGGTTAATAATAGTTTTACAGCAAAATTTTTTGGTTTGTTTTGCAACGTTATGGCTCCCACAAAGAAATCTCCGAATAAAGCACTGTGATGGATATTGCCTATCATTTTCAAATTTTTTGAGGCTCCGGAACGTAACCCCCCTTTTACATAAGAATCAATGCTTCCGTATACGCGATTTCGGTGTAAGCGGTACTTTTGTGGAACGAATTAACCGCGTATACCGGGGTTTTCCTGTATCACAGCTGGAAATTGAATTTTTTCGATTGAATGCAAACAATCTTATTCAATATTTCATGCATAGTATATTACAGCAGGCCCTCCGCATTCGCGGATTCAGTATACGCGAATTCTATATTCGCGGAGTTTATCTGATGCCAAACACAACTTTTTGGTTAACTTTTGTATTTGTTGTTTACATTTTTAAACGATGGCATTAAATCCTTATAAAGAGTTGCACACAGACATGGTTCGGCGAATAAAACAATCCCGCATTACGGAATATTTTGAAAAATGCCAATAAAATAAATACTTTCAATTATTGAATATTTTTGTTATTCGACATTATTATTATTACATGTATTATTATTATTTTTCAATTATTCGCGGATTCCGTATTCGCGGTGTTTTTGAGGAACCTAACTACCGCGAATACGGAGGGCCTGCTGTACTACCTTAGGCCGCGAAAAACAAAAAAGTCCCAGAGTACGGGTAATTAGTGTCTGAGGCGAAGCCGAGGCCGATAAACACGTGCTCTGGTGCTTTCTTTTTTCGCGGCACAGTCTTGTATACTCTTTTTCATACACAGTGTCCCGAAAATTGCTCTTCCTCTCACTTTACACAGCGGCAGGGAAGTAGTCACTTTCGAGTGGCTGGTATGAAAAACAAATTCCACATCAATAATCGTATTTTAATAGCAGTTGCTTTTTACTGACTGTAAGTACTGGAGTTCACCAATAATAAATCCTACAGCTGAATATTGAAAAGTATTCAAGCCTCCTATTACGCTAGTAAAAATTATCATAATTAACAATTGCCAAGTAAACATGTGATAAAAGTATTTTTCTTCATCAATGAATAATTCCACATGAATCGGTAGCTGTTTTTTAAATGTCTGATTTCCTGGTAGATATCGTGTTAATAAAATTGGAATAACTACTGGACCAAATGCATAAAATACACTTATAGGGATGAATAGCACTATAAACAATTATGTGTTATATTTTAAAATTATATTAATTTTTATGAATAAGAAAAAACACTGACAGATTAGAATAAATCCGAAATGATTTGACATTTCATACGACCTTTTAACCATGCGTCGTCCGAATCCATCATTGTTTTCGAGAACTTTTTTCATGCAAATCACAACCAGAATAATCTAAAAATTATTTGGCATTTAATATTAAAATTTTTATTAAAAAACAAAGGTCAATATCTTTTATCAAAAATGTTTTGATACTTTATCGTAATTCCAGATCATAAAGGGGTAAATATACATTATCATCATTGAATTTATTATTTGAAATATATCGTCAATAAAGAAGCTACTGTTGGCACCATACATTTTGGTATTTTCAATTACTTTAATAACCTAAACATTCAACCAATTATTGAAATAGTCGTTTTTAGTTATGCCAAAAATACTTACCCCAGCAACAGTAACAATAGTAAACATTGACATAATAAATATTCTTCCCAAGAGTTGTACATTTTTATCTTGAAAGGGCCATAGACAGCATAAATACATTATTTTCATTATTAATGGAGACTCAGGAGAACAAAATTTCTGCAACCATTCAACAAAAATGTCTAAATCTTCATTTAACGACATGTTTGATACACGAACCCAATAATGATATTGCAGTACGAGTTTACTGTGACAATAAACTTTACCTTAGTAAAACACAGATTTGAATATTTTAATCTAAAAGAAGCAAAAATAAAAATGAATAACGTATATTATACATAATATATCACGCACCCAGAAAAGTTCGATTTTATTGATATGAAACCTCTATTTTTATTATGCATAAATTTCAAGAGTTGGTTTGACTTTGACAACTACGGACTTATTATGAAGGAGTTATAGTTATTTACAGAATATTAAATTAAAAAGAATATAAAATAATATTGGATGAAAATTTTAAATTTTCGCACTGCGACGACAAAAAATTATTTATACGTTCTAGATGAATGTTGAACTAATAAATGTTTAAGCTTTATTAAAAAAAATCAACAATATAATTGGTGTTCTATTAAAATAACAAGTAAAAATTTCAAAACGAGTTAGTAAATTCAAATTTTTCGCTATTTGATTAGTAAAATTTGTTTAAAAAATTTTCCACACATTTTTCCGCTTGGAAACATGCACATTCGCATTCAGATGGCCTTTTTCCAAAAAACATCTCAGATTTGCCGTTAGAATAATTTCCTCTTCGAGGTCGTTTCTGGTACCCGGATTTTAAAAATGTGATACGAGGTGTCGAGGCGCGACAGACGGCGCAGTCTCGTTGAAGTTGTTCTGGTCGGTTCTGCTGCTAGCGCTGTAGCTCTGTTGTGCCGCTTGCAGTGCCACAGTGCCACTGCCATTCGCATCAATTGAGGAGTGTCACCGAAGCGCATATCATCAACGAACTGCGTAGCCACTGAATTACGAAAAATTGTTTCGGGACGAGAGGAACGAAATTAAAATCAATCGAACGAACGAGCAAAGATGAAAATCGCCGTACTCGGTGCTGGTTGCGTGGGAGTGACGACGGCTCTCGAGCTCCAGAGAGAATTACCACAGGCACAGATCAGCCTTTTGGCCGCAGATTTCGAGGGTATAACGAGTTTCGTGGCCGCTGGCATATTCCGAATAGGCACGTCGTTCGCTGGTCCGAACGAGACCATCACAAGGTAGGCGTTAATTATTGCAACGACATGAAATAATTGTGCAATTTTGCATTCGAGCTCGGTTGTAAAATCGACCGTTCGTTTGCAGCATGAAGTTTATCTCTCTTTCCAATACTTATAAAAATTGATCGCTTTGTCAAGCGATAAATGCGATAAGGGAGAATTAATATTATACTTATGTATATCGATTGTTCAGACAATGGATCAAAGACTCGTACGATTATTACGAGGAATTGAGCCGATCGAGGGATGCTTCGGAAATCGGCGTTGCAGCCATCTCCGGATACATGTTTTCCAACGAGTCGCCGGTAGTCGTTATGGTACAAAATTCCTGATTTGGAAAATAAAGTATAATGGAATGAGATTTTAAAAACGCCGCATTTTTATGTGATAGAATGATTATATGGAGAAGCTCGTGCCGATTTATCGCAGAGCTACCGAGTCGGAGCTGCAATTGACAGGCAACGTGTGGAAGTACGGCTCGTTCGTCTCGACTTTGGTGACGCAGCCCGACATTTACGTTCCTTGGGCGATAAGCAAGTGAGTTTCCATTGACAGAGACACATGTATTTCACTGTTATCACGATTGGCCGATCGAGATCAAACTCGACGAAATTACCTTAGATTAAAGGCCAACGGCGCGCAGATTAAGCGACAAAAAGTCAATTCGTTCAAGGAGATCGCCGCGGATTACGACGCAATCGTGAATTGCACCGGCCTCGGGGCTAAGCGGCTTTGCTCGGACCGCGCCATGGTGCCGATCAAGGGCCAGGTGATCAAGGTGCGGGCTCCCTGGCTCAAGACCTTCTTCTACGGCGAGCTCAACACTTACGTAGTGCCCGGCGTCAACGGCCTCGTCACTCTGGGCGGTCAGCGCGAGTTCGACTGCTCGGATCTGAGCATCTGTCCGTACCAGTCGGCGGCCATCAAGGATCGCTGCGACCGACTCGTGCCGGGCTTGAGCAAAGCCGTGCAAGTGTCCGAGAAAGCTGGCCTAAGGCCGCACCGAGAGACCGGAGTCCGAGTCGAGGCGGAAAGGTTCAGCGATGGTCCAGGCAGCAGCACCTTGGTGAGAGAGATTTGACAAATAATTAAAGATCTATAAATCACAAGTTGCACTTTAAAAAATAATGTATTTTTATTTGTGTTTGGTTCTTTGTTTGTTTCTTAAAAAGATTGTTCACAATTATGGTCACGGAGGCTACGGCATATGCACAGCCCCAGGAACTTCGAAATACGCGGTGACAAAGTTGAAGGAACTTCACAGTTCCACGGCGAAGCTTTGAGCATACTCAAAATTATTTGAGCTACTGGAACGCAGCTTGTACGCTGTTGTACAATAATGTTTTACAGTTATGAAGAATTAAAATTAATGTCAAAAATATTATACTAAACTAAATCTTTAAAAATCTAAGATACATGATAATCAACGTAAAAACGTTCAGTCAATTACAACTAATAAATTATTAAACTTTAATTTCCAATGGCTAACTTGTTACCAAAAAGACCTCTATTAATGCGACTAATACTGGCTATAAATAAATTTTTCCATTTTCGGTATGCATTTATGTTACATGTAATAGGCACTTTTGAATAATGAATGTTATAAAGCGACTAATTTTACACTTATTAATTTGTAAAATTATAAAAATATACAATTAATGGAAAAATGACATTTTTGATTCATTGATAATAACTCAGATGGGACATTTAAAAGACTCAATGGATTTCTCACTAATATTGCAGACTCAGACGGTCTAAAATATGTGCATAGTGTATCACATCATTTCTTTCCTGGTTTAGCCTTTTTAATAGGAGGACCCCAGCGAAGGGCACTTATATCAACAACAAGTCTAGGTCTCTTATACTGTTCACTTATAATATGATCGTCAACAATCTTAGAGGTAACGCAGATCACGTGCTGACCCTTCCAGTACTTCACCATATTCATGCTTTGAAGTGTCGAAATGATATCAGTTTGAGAGATACTCGTTCTTGTACTGTGAAAAAAATTTCATTATCAGAAATTTCTTTCTAATGAATTATATTATTATTTTTCCACATACCTCAAATCTTTGATGCTCAATGATCCTTTATAATCTCTGAGGATTTCAAGTAATACCCAACTCCAATAACTTCTGTAAGACAATTTTCCTAAATCACTCAAAGGCTTTTCAGGGCTGCCTACAACTCCTTCGATTTTGCTTAATTCATAGCTGAAAGCTATTAGTAATTTTCCAAAGCCTTGTCTTTGGAATGGAGGTAAGGTCAAAATGCAAGCAACATTATTTCCATCGGGTGATTCTTTTTCCTGTAAAGTTTACTCATATGTAATTTTAATCTGTATTATTATAAATAAGTAAATAAAATTATTCATAAAATTTACCTTTGAAAAGTAACCAACTAAATGGGCACCATGTTTGTCGATCTCACACAAAACGTAAAACATAAAAGGTTCTACATCAAAGTATAAAGTTTTATGATCTAAAAATAATTTTGCAAGTAGACACAGATTTTGACAGTATATTTTGTGAACTTTGCCATCAACCTCCCAAATACTATGTACTCCTTTACGATAAATTTCTTTTCCCATTGGTTGTCTATGTGTGCATTCACTCTAAAATAATATAGAACCAGATAAAAAAATCTCTGCGTACATAAGTATTAAACATAGGAAATTTCTACAAACCATGTGGTAACGGTATGTTTTTTCTAGTCTCATATATTTCAGACAGTATTCACAAATCCATAGTTTTGGTACTTTGCCGTATTCTTCAGGATAAGGGCTAAAATACCATGTGTCAATTTCATACTTGCCTATTTGAATTTTATCAATATATTTCACTTTTGTAATAGCTTCATGTTCTTTTTCTAATGCCGCTGTTGTAGGGTCCATTTCAGCATATGTCTAGAAAAATCAATTGTAAATAGTGAGCATAGTTATGATTTGAATTGAGCATAGTTTGATTATGAAGAAATTTACCGATGCGCAAACAAAGATAGTGAGTTTATTCGTTATTCAACAAAAAATTGAATGGACGGTGAGTGTAGATTTATATAAAAAATGTATTAACCTTTTGCACATGATTAATTTCATCGTGTCTTCTTTTTTGGTTTCTGGTTATTTTTCTGTCTGAAGAATCAGCCAGTAGATCACTCATATTATTCTTGTCGCCATTTTTCCAATTTCGTCCCTGAACATCGAATTTACTTGACATTATTCTGCTCCTTGGAACCCATTCATCCAGACGTCTATTCTGATTTTCATAATGAACATAATATTCATAATGATTTTCTAATTCATTGAAACGAGTTTGTATGATCTCGGCACCATCTGCAAAAGATAAATGTTCAATATGAATTTTCAATTCAGAATCAAATTTTCTCCAACATTAGCCTCATTCAGAATATTCAAACTACATTTTCAGTGCACAAGTTAATCTCTCACGCTCCAAAATAAACAAACAACTTTCGACACTTTGTCAAACAATGAGATACAAACAATCGTTGCAACGATGAGTCAAAAAAGCAAGTTAGCAACGACGTTTTCGCGGCGGTGACGTCGTAACCGAGACTATTGTACACGGCTGCGGCTTGGCTGTTTTTTACCTTCATCGCGCAGTGTCACGCAATAGAGCCTTTTAATAATCGCGTTTTATAGGTACATCAACACGCATGAACAAAAAAGAATATAAACAACAACGGCTGCAGGGGCAATCGCGTCTGTGTGCGTGTGTGCTTCTCCCACTCCTGTGCCGAGGTATATTATGTATACGCGCCTAGAGCACATAGCGCATACAACACATTACAAAGGCACATGTTCATCGCCTCGTGCGTAGTGACTCCGAAACGAACAAAAACAAGTCGACAATAGTAGACGTACGCGACCAGGATGACACCCACATGCCGTAAAACGCATAATCCGCGCGGGAGGCTCTCGTTATCGACTTTCTAAATCTGCTCTCTGTCGGTTTGACATAACCCGTAGCAGCCGATCATGACAACATTATAGTAAAATAATACTCACGCCAAAGGTCTTCGTATCTACGCACGAGATAGTTTTCTCCAATATCGAGAGGCGTTTCATCTGCGTTGTCGGCATCTTCGCCCGAGCCACGGTTTGCCGTCGACCCGTTGGTCGAGCCCTGATTCGCTGCTCCGGTGGTGGCGGCAGCTGCAGCAGCGGCGGCACCAGCACCAGAAGCCGTCGCGGCGCCCGTTGCTGTTTGCATCTGGCCCGTTGTCTGCTGCTGCTGCTGTTGCTGCTGTTGTTGCTGCTGCTGCTGCTGATTTTGTTGTTGTTGTTGTTGTTGTTGACGCGGCGACTGGGGTCCCGGTGTGGACGTCGCGGTGTCTTTGCCCTCGGCCGCCATGATGCGACTACGACGTGGTCTTGCAATTTCTATCGTGTTGACGAGAGCGATTTACGTATCGCCGGACGAGCCTGAGAGGAGGAAACTGAAGCTGTGCCACCGCACACGTTGTTGTTACGTATTATTGTCGTACACACAATATGCACTATGCACCACAACGTCGCGCGGAGTGACGATAACGATGCGATGCGTTGCTCGGTGTGTGCGTCCGTGTAGGCGCTACGCGCGGCAGCGTCCGCAGGGCAGGCGGACGTACGACGTCGAATCCCGGTCGTGATATGCCTACAGACACATATATGAAAACTGTCACCCAATGTTGAAAAAATTTTTACGGTCTCTCGAAGCGAGAACCAAAAGACTACAGCGTAGATGGACGCGAAACGGGAATTTGCGACGCGGAGCAACAGTGCAGTGCAGAGAGCAGCTGCTGCGAGTGCGAGTTTACGTCTCCGGCACGCGCGCTTCGTGCGAAATTCTGTGACTGGGCCGCCGCCGTTGATGGCTGCGGCCGCCGACCGTGCATAGCCGGTAGCGCCATCTTGACTCCAAAGAACAATTTTTGAACTGCGGATGCATTTTTGTAATCGTTCGCGCCTTTTAGTTTATTGCAAAACTCCGTTCCGAGAGGTGTCTCGAACAAATGAAGTGCGTGTGTGACAATAAAGAAATAACAATTTTGATGAGTTTTTGTATAACGAGCTTCTTCGTGAGTGAGTAATAATGATAAAAGTAATGCGAATGATGGCGAGTGATATCATCTCGTAAAGTTCGATTTGTTAAAAAGTTCATAGTGAATTCTTATTCGAATGTAACCGCCAGTGCTTGTGGAAAAATAAAAAGTGGAAGTGAGTGTTCGTGATTAAAGTAACGCAAGTCTAAATGTGTTAACGGTAATATTTCATTAAATTCGATTTTCACGAAAAATTCCTCGCAATCGTATTTCATTCGAAGATAACCGCCATTTTGTTAAAATTATATATTATCGAAATTTGCGTAGTATTGCATTTTTCAGAGGTTTTTAAATAAACAAATTGTAATTTTTTATCGTTCGTTCTGTACCTACCGGCATCGAACGAAGTTGGTAACCAGAATTCCTACTCGAGCGCACGCGCTACGACCGTTGGACGATAACGCCATCATGGCGAAGCCGCGCGCCACACTGTAGTTTGGTAGCTCGGCCTCGAGATGGAATTCGCTCCGAGACGAGCTCGCTTAGCCGTCAAAACTAGCAGAAACCACACGTCGCGCGATGCACAGCGCATTAAAATCGCGTAAATTAAAATCAGATCAGTTTTTTTTGTAATCCACACAGTGCATTGTACGAGGCGCGATCCGAGCGCGTATCGTTGTTTTTGCTGCCAACGCGAAGAGTCGCAAGTGTTTATGCGTGCTTGTGAGCGACACGTCGCAAATTTCGTTCGCAAAAATGTATTGGTGACATAAAGTTATTCTCGTTCTGTGTGCATTTTCTCGCGTCCATTAACACCGGAGGTCCTCGTCTACGCTCGGCGCATCTGTTTTTTATGGTTTTAAGTCGCAAGCGCAGCAGTTACGTATGAGACGCGAACACCGCTTCTTCGAAAAGGTGAGTTTCAAAAATTGACGTTCTCTGCCGGGATCGAACTCATTGTTTACCTCTCAGCTAACCTCATCTCACCTGTCTAACGTTGTATAAATATTACTCGAGCATGAGCACAATACTCGACTATAAGTACATGATCAATTTGCCTAGCTATGGCAGCGACTGTCAAGGTCGTATGGTCGTGCAAAACCTACGCATAGCGTGAACGACGATTACGCTGTAGGCCTGTAGCGCATACATTATGGAACAAACGATGCAGCACATCGGAATGCTCGACGTCAACCTTGAGCCTTTTAAACAGAGATGGAGTTGCTAGGCTGGATTTTTCAGTCGTTTACGTATACACACTCGCGGCAGGGGTATTGAGTGCGCAGCGAGGAGAGAAGTAGGAGAAAAATAGACGTCAAAAGGAGCACGTAGACTCAAACTGGTTTTGCGCTTGAAAAAATAGAATTGCCTTCTCACTCGCATCGCCTTCGATAGCTCAGTTGGTAGAGCGGTGGACTGTAGTTGGTTGATTCAAAGATAGAAATCCATAGGTCGCTGGTTCAAATCCGGCTCGAAGGAAAACCTCTTTTTGAAAATTTTTTCTTTTTTTTTTTGCATTTTTGTTTGTACTACAGTAAAAACATTAAATTTTTTATTGAAAATTTTTTTTAAAAATAATTTTTTTTTTATCAACGACAATATTAGCGCACGAGAATACTCGTGCAGAATGTATAAAATGTTATGCATGATCAAGTACCAATGTTTTGCCCGTCGTTGTGAATTTTTAAGTCGACTTTTGTCGTTATTTAATCATCTTTATAATTTTGAAGCAGTCGATTTTCGAAAGTTTCTATTACGTACGTATCTACGTATAAATTTATGCGGGTAAAGTTAAGTGAAAAGCGATGTACCGAATCTGTGAACCTATGAACTCGAAACTTTCGAAAAAGTTCAAAATTTCCCGTGATATTAGCAATTAAAGTATTTGAAAAACCCAACTCACAAAGAGTGTGAGAAATTAGAAAAATTTTCGTACCTCATGGACTACGTGGAACGTGTAAAATTCAGGAGGAGGCAAGCTTTGCACCGTAAAATTTCCTTTTGCTCTCTCTCTCTCTCTCTTTCTCTCGCTCTACCTCGAGTAATTTCCAGACCATAATGAAAATCCTCAAATTTTATCACGTGCACAAGCAGCAAAAATTAACATCACCAGCGGCAAATTAAATCAGCAGCAGTGTAACTACATTTGGCCCATTTACTGCACGCGCGCCGTACTACTGCATGTATGTACACACGCGCACGCACACAACCAAGCCAAAACTTCTCTCTTTCTCATTCCAAATTCAACTGCGGCCCGACGCACACGCGTAATCATCCCAGCGCCGGTATGCATGTGTGTATGTGTATACGAATGCGCAAGTTCCTTTGGGCTAAAAGCTAGTAGTATAGAGCTCGAGATGAAAAAAAAAGAGGAGAAAGACTCGGACGCACCAAGTATACGAGCAATGCCCGTCGCTTATATATTCGAATTTCGAAACTCGACCGAGCGTAAAACAATTCAGTAATTTCGTGTCTATATATTGTACAGTAGTAGCATCAGTTCAGGCTGCCCGTTGGCTTTACAAAAAAAACAGGTAGAGGAAAAAAATTATCGCTCAATTATATTCGTGCGGGGAAATTTCACGTGAAAAACTTTTTCAATATTTTAAGATGAAAAAAATTTCACCACCGATCGTACACGCTAATAGAACTTTTTTCTTTTTTTTGTACGCGCGATCAAAAAAAATCTCTGTATCAGTGTGAAATCGATACATTTTTTTCTATTCTTTCGAATGCTTTGCTCGATGCTTCAAGGCTAAAGAACGGATTTGATTTGGAAATGAATGGAAATCGGGAGAGGGGAAGTTTTACACTTTTATTTGCAGCGAGCGAGATAACTAGCGATCAAAAGCTAATCGGGTCACATTCGTGATACCGATTGTCTGATCTTTGTCGGATGCTTTAACCTCGTGATAATTTTTTTTTTTTTTCCTGCGATCGATTAGTGCAGCAGTTAAAGAGCATAATGGTATGCGCGCGTACGCCGCGAGAGATCCAATAAGCGTAGAATTTCGTATATATATTTCGCGTGTATGCATCCAGGAAGCTCTTCATCCTACCTCTCCTTATGGTTATAACAAATAATAGGCAATCAGCGGTGCACCATCTCGATCTGGAATTCGTGGAAACTAATATCTGAACTCAGGGCGTTGGCGCCCCTTTCCCAAGAGAGACAGAGAGAGAGAAGGAGAGAGGCCAAACCCAAATCTGCATATAGTACATATATATAGCGTACACATCCCTCTTCTATATGCAGCTCTGTAATTTATATCTGCATATCCAACGCGCGAAATTCCACCATCCATCTCTGTCTCCGAGTGTGTGTGTGTGCGTACGCACTGGCTGCGGGGCTGCTGCTGCTGCTGCCTGCGAGTCTTCTTACTCTTGAGCCAATGAATAAATTATGCGATGATGCTCGAGAGACCAAGAGTTAAGATTTACACTTATAGAACTGCTGCTGCTCTGTTCTGCTCTCGCTATCTCTCTTTGCTAATCATATGCATCCACGAGGCACTCGCAAAATAGCAGCAGCAGCAGCCAAAATACACAGACGGAAAGAGAGACGGAAAAATCAACAGGTGTGGGGAAAGAGAAGAGAGCTTTTTTCTCGTGCGCGCGCGAGTCTCGAGTTCTCGCTTTTTTCCCGACTTAATAAGCTGAAAAGTTTTTGGCTTTTTTGTTCTCTCTCTTGCTCTCCTTCTCCCACGCTCCAGTCGAGCTTGCATGCTAATTTGAGCGACGTAAAGTTGAAAAGTTTGATGATTATGCCAGACTATGAAATAAAAAAAAAAACTTCCGCGCGGCACATACAGTCTAGTGTGCATACCGCGTGCGTGCCTTATACACATATAGCTCGCCGCCACTGCCGCCGAGCGATATGATAAAAGACCAGTCAGCTGGGACGTTTATCAAGGATTTTCAATTCAAGCGCGACCTATACATCCTCCTTTTTCTTCTTCTTTTTCTTCATATCTTCCTTCTTTCTCTTCGTTCTTTTGTACACGTGACTATAGAATTACGCATTGGAGCATACACTTTCGCGCCTTTATTGATATTCAAATGTCTCTCTGTGCTCTTTGTGACGTTTTTCTTTTCTTTTTTTCCTGTATACATCGCAAAGGTTTTCGTACACAGATAAAAGTTGTACTTGGATATCCACGTTTACTTCTTTTTTCTGCGATTTTTCGTATCATTCGAGTTTTGCTCTCGCATGAAGCAACACTCACACACATGCCGTCGTCGCGAGTGCTTTCATGGAAACAATACGTTATGCACAACGTGTGCTTCAAAAGCCAATCTAGAGCGCAGCGTATGCGCAGTGATGCTGCATATATGCATTGCAGCTTCATCTGTACAGTCCGAGATCTTCATTCTCGATATGCACAGGACACAAGTGCTTATACATTTTATTTTGCTTTTAAATTTATCGTCTTCAAGATTTATACGCACGTTTTGATACGTAGAAGAGCTTTTTAAATTTCTTTTATGCGCTTATGTATTCTGTGTCCTGCATTTTGTTCGTTGATAAGTCGATCGCCGAGAAAGTGAATTTGTAATTGATGTAGAACTATACCAGAAAAAAAACTAGCTTATAATATCAAGGTATCTATCAAGTACTCTTAAATTTTTCTATAGTTCAGATTATTAAATCATTAATTCTGATTACTCAAAACGAGAGTTGATGATCTGAATGGACCAATTGATACTCGATCATCAATGCTTATATTATAGCCACTTAACCGCAGTGCTCCGTTGACATATCTCCCTCTCTCGTTTTCTCAACTGTCAGAATCAAAACATAAGTGTATTTGAGAGCCGTATTATGCCATTATCGACGCGACAAACCCTCCAAAAGTCATAATCGGTTCGTCTTTTCATTTTTTTTCATCCGTATAACACGGCCAACATTGGATCGACGAATGCGATCGGGTGCAGCGAGTCGTTGCAAACGTCACAAACATTTGCAGCACACGCCTACGCTTCTGTGTGATTTAAACCCGAGGATATAGGATGAATAATCCCCACGGCTGTGCGTAACCCGGTGGTAACTACAATCATGGGACTCCGCGTGTTCTGATTGGAAATTTACGCGAACCGCTCGCTTTCCGTAATTGAGCTGTGTTCGTGCGGTACAGCTCATAGATGCGAGTTTTGGGCCGTACAGATTGTAATTTTTTTTTCCATATGGGTATCATTTTTCTACTAGCAACTCTTGGCGTTATATTTTTAGAAACATGCATCGCGATTCATCAGAATTATTTGGACTAAAGATATCCCCAGTGAATTTTATAAAATTTATTTCTTTTCTTAGTATTAAAGATATAATCATAAGTTATTTGGACAAATGAAGAATACCTAATGGGCTACATTCATAATTCAGAATAATATATAATTATAGGTATGCAAAAAAGTGATTTGATAATTAAAGAGTTTGAGCCTTCTGGACATTAGATGTTTACGAGTTGTTATACGGTATGTTTATGAATTAACAAAGCTAAGAATTTTCTTGCAGCATCAAATATATTTCAAAAATCCTGTAGTTCACCGGCTAAATATTATCTTATCTCATCTGAAAAGTAGTTTACCTTGACCAATGCGTACGCCAAGTACTGTAACTGAACTCTAGATGGGTTTTTTTGTTTCAAAGAAACCTCATGCAAAGCAGATCAGGAATTACATATAAGCTTTTTCGATCGTAGGTTTTTCAGAACGCCTGGTATGTGTTCGAAATTCATGGCTATAATATTATATTGTTGTATGCGTATAAAAATAAGTAAAAAGCCAACTTCGGGCTTCTCGAAAAAGTGTGATAAACGGTCCCAAAAGTTCTAATAATGAAATTCAGGGACATGCGTGGCATCAGAAACAACAAGTTTTCCATGACAGCAGAAAAAAAATATTCCTGGTTATTTGAT